ACGATCTTCGTCACCAGGGGTTACCTGATACCAGTCTGTTTCGACCTAGTGATTTTGTCCCTATAGGCTTCTGAACGATATATTCACACTCGTGATTCTGAGCGAGTGTGGGTATATCGAAAAGCTGCTGAGTTAACTTTACGGTGAGGAATGGACGGTGTTCAGTCTATTGGCCGATAGACAGAACAGCTACACGTCCTCTGTGTAAGGTCTCCCTCACGTGAATGCTTTACAAGGGCTGCCGGGCATATCGTGGCACACAGCACAAATGTTACAATTTGACCAATAGCATTGCAGCAAATAAGCGGGAACCGATCATATTGACCGTTCGATGATCAGTAGGAGAGGTGACGTCATGAGCACGTCACGACCACGTCATAGCTGTTATTCTCCATCGTGCTGGTTGAGGTTGACCTCAGGGTCACACTGTCGCCTCGCAGGCGTCCCCTCTACTCTTCTCACGGTCCGCACCGGCCAATGTACTCACTGACCCTTGGTGGCAAGTATGCGTAACTCCCTGTATCTACTTCTTGCCTGGACATACGGCGGCCTCCGTACTACGAAATGTTCCTGGTTAAGTGGGCATTCTGGAGATACCCAACATGCCAAGTCACTATCCAGGGTTAAGAGATAGGGCCTTGTGCACGAAGTTCGATGCTGAGTCAAATGCAGTATTTGGAGCTTTCACAGAAAACCATGCACGGAAATTCTTGGACAGTGAGATCTGGATACCAGAATATAATTCTTTATAGGTGTGATAGGGTAATTAGGTCACATGGAGGAGTGGGCCTGTATATTAGGAAAGACTTTGTATGCTCGGAGCTCCATAATGCTACAAATGAGGTGGTAGAGTTAGTACTGGGAGTAAAAATAGAGCAAATAAACTTAGTTATTATTCAAATATACAACCAGCCAGATGAACGGCTGAGGAATTCGCAGAACAGATGAACAAAATAGAGAATAGCCTTGATAATTTGGCGAACCCGATACCTGATAGTATCTTACGTGGTGACTTAACTTGCCAAATCTAAGATGGAGAATGGCCAACAATATTATTATATCAGGAAATTTATCAGAACATAACCAACCACAGAGTAGAGAATTGCTTAGATTCTGTGAAAATGTTCACTCAACCAGCAGATATCAGAGCCAATGAGAAACGAAAATATTCTAGATCTGGTCTTTACAAACAATGAGGACATAATCAGGGACGTTACGATATCAGATACCACATACTCGGATCACAAGCTCATTCAAGTGCAAACTACCATCAATACTAAGAATAGACCTAAACCCACGATCAGACGAGAGGAGTTACTCAGTAAATTAAATTTTAATAATAAAAGGATGGAGTGGGAGACAATAAACAGTGAACATACAAACATTCCATGGGAAACTGATCTAAGTAATACAAGTCCTACAAAAGGAATAGAAAAACTGACTTTGGAAGCGTATCAAGTCTGTCTGAAACGTGTTCCTTTGAGGAAAGCCAGAAAGCGGTCCCACACAGAAAGAGAATGCAGACCACACTATAAAGGAAGGGAAAAAATTACGGGAATGCTAAAGCAGACACGACTTTCCCTACAAAGAAGGAATAATTTAAATAGAGAAATTAAAAAACTGGAGCAGAAATTGAAACAATCATATCAGACTGAAGAAAGGCAGTTAGGACAGAAAGCAATTCAGGAGAAAAAGGAAAAATCCAAAATATTTCTAACATAGGCAAAATCAAAAGCAAAACTACTGCCAGTATTGGACTTATTCGTACGAGTGAAGGTTCATACACGGAGGATAACAAAAAAATTAGTAAAATCCTAAAAAAAGGAGAATAAAGACATGTTTAACACTCCAACAAATATGAAAGTGGAAGATCGAGACAACTTCTTTGTGTGGTATCCAAACCCCCTGTAAATATAATTGATAACACCAGCATAGCAGATTTTGAAAAATTTAAAACATGCCCATGCACTCCGCTCTAGGTCAATATTTATGGAATTCAATATTTATAAAATAAATGCAAGGTGCCAGTAGCACAGTAGTAGGGATGGAGGAGTAAACACGAATTTTAGGTTATTGGAAAATTTGTCTGTGTCACAGGGTTTCTTGATAAATTTTGGCCATTCTTCACTGGTGCATCGGTTTCTTGATAAATTTCTCAGTTTTCCGATTTAGAGTAATGGATTCTTATGCGGGAAATTCAGACTCAAAATATTTTCATAGATCATTGAAGTTTCATATAGAAAAATTCAGGGGTAATTTCTTTAACAGTTTGCTACCGTCTTTTTTCAAATAAACTCTATGGCCATTGTGGTTTTCTTTCTTACTTTCACGACTGCAATGCGTACGTCGCCAATGTACATGTGGCAGACGCTTCATGAAACTGTCGGAATTAGCAGAATAGAAAATAAGAGCAACCGTACAGGACCTGGGAGCAAGGTCGAGTTGGTCCTTGAGGGTCTCTTCTCAGACTAGTCTCACCTGGTCCTGGTCTACGTTGATCGTTGGAATCTCCTCAATGATTTAACACTTTAAGGGACCCCAGGGTCCTCATCACATTTATAGTTTAGTGAATTAGGCAACTCGGTGTTGAAGACACCTGGAGCTGAAGGCTTGAGTAATGTTGGCAGTATTCAGAAGTGGTTCAGCGGAAACACCGCATAAAGCTTAACAGTAGTTTATTACAAACTCAACCACTAATACAAAGGCTGCTTGATTTACTTTAGATTGGCGTCAGAAAGGCTATGGTTGCATTAGCGAGACTCTTGACGTCTGGCTAATGGACTCGTATCCACTCGTGGCGAAGCACCTAACTTAACACTATTGACAGCCAATCATTAACACGGCAACCTAACTGCCGGTATGCAAAGGGATCACAAGAGTTCCAACCGGATACTCGGTAATGATGATATGCAATAAACACAACTACACTGTCAATGGGACAGGCAATAACATGCACAATAATAATCACACAATAACTAAATGTGTGGTGTATGTGAAGCTCACATTCACAGACGAGTGTAATATCGTGATACCACACGGATAACACGCATACACCGTTGACACTCGTAGACACACTCACTCACTCACTCACTCACTCTTGGCACTGGCGGTGAGTAAGGGGGTGACGTCACGTAGTACAGTGAGGGCGGCGGCGGGCTAAACGCTCGGGACAGAGTGGCGGCTGGCGGCGGCTGTGGGTACCATGTGGTACACTGTGGTAAAGTCACACACAGGTTACTTAGGCGGTGGCACTGCCTTAGTTCACTTACAACGATCTTCGTCACCAGGGGTTACCTGATACCAGTCTGTTTCGACCTAGTGATTTTGTCCCTATAGGCTTCTGAACGATATATTCACACTCGTGATTCTGAGCGAGTGTGGGTATATCGAAAAGATGCTGAGTTAACTTGACGGTGAGGAATGGACGGTGTTCAGTCTATTGGCCGATAGACAGAACAGCTACACGTCCTCTGTGTAAGGTCTCCCTCACGTGAATGCTTTACAAGGGCTGCCGGGCATATCGTGGCACACAGCACAAAAGTTACAATTTGACTAATAGCATTGCAGCAAATGAGCGGGAACCAATCATATTGACCGTTCGATGATCAGTGGGAGAGGTGACGTCATGAACACGCCACGACCACGTCATAGCTGTTATTTTCCATCGCGCTGGTTGAGGTTGACCTCAGGGTCACACTGTCGCCTCGCAGGCGTCCCTTCTACTCTTCTCACGGTCTGCACCGGCCAATGTACTCACTGACCCTTGGTGGCAAGTATGCTTAACTCCCTGTATCTACTTCTTGCCTGGACATACGGCGGCCTCCGTACTACGAAATGTTCCTGGTTAAGTGGGCATTCTGGAGATACCCAACATGCCAGGTCACTATCCAGGGTTAAGAGAAATAGGGCCTTGTGCACGAAGTTCGGTGCACTGTGCAGTGCAATGAGCCATTCTAGTTAGCTGTGGGAGGATCTTGAGACACACTCTCACAGCCATAAGCAGATATTTTAGACTGTAGGATTTTAAATTCTTACAAACGAGTATATTCCTATACAAGTAAAACAGTTCCATTACCCAGCTACATGTGACCCAGCCTGCCCCCCCCCCCCCCCCCCCGGCAGATACCGCTGAGACTACCTCACCCAGGCAGGTGTTACCATTGTAATCTTATCTTACCGTCGCCGTACAATCAGGCCCGCCCCTCTCCCCCTAACCCCTGCTCTACCTGTTCCAACATTACCTCACACCCCCGTCCTCCCTTCCTAATCGTTCTTTCATATTTTCGTATAGCGTTTTATTTTATTTCAGACATTGTAATGTTTAGACATCCTTTTGCATCAAAACATATCAAACGACTCATCAGATCTGTTTTACGCAGGTGCAAACACTCCAAGACATCGTTATCAATATGTCCCTCAGGCTACCTGCCCTCCAGACCTTCAACACCTGACCCATTACGCCCCTGGCCTTCTGAGCACACTTAGTAAGATTGGTCTCTCCTTTGTCTGAAAGGTAGATACGGACAGGAGTAGGAACACGGCGAAGGAATTCTTCCATCAAGATGAGGTTCAGAAGATCTGCAAAGGTGGTGATTTGGGCTGATTTCAGCCACTTGGATACCTAGGATTAGCTCAAAATATGATAAGATATCTAGTAGTACTAGATTTGAAGTAGTCCCTAAACCTATCTGTAAATCTCTACCAAAAGAAGGTAGGCATCAAGCACTGCCTGTTTCAAAACCTAAGTCAGTTTCTGTAGCCAGAGAACTGAGGGTCAAGGCAGTTCTACCTGTCAAATTGCATCTGAGAATTTTTGACCCCTGATCCTGAGGCCAGCTGAGTTGGTTAGCTAGAGCCTTAAATGAGATAAAAAAAAATGCATCAACCTCCTTTTCTACAAAAGGTGGCATTACTTTAATGGCGTGAGAAACATTAAAACCTACTGGGAGTTTAGCTTCAGCTTCTTGGAGCTGAGTGATATGGATGGTTTCAAGGTCAAGCTATTGACGGCGGAGCTCTAGTCTCTCTTGGTCACGTGCACGATTCAATGCAACACGTTCTTCAGCGACTTGATGTTCAGTGTGTTCGTTCTGGAGGGCAGCTTCCCGTTCTTTTACCCGAAGATCTTCCTTCTGAAGGGCAGCTTGTTCCTTCTGACGTTCGCGTTCTATGTAGCTAGCTCGATCTTTAACTTCATGGCTGCCATGGCGCTCTTGTCTGAAATTGGATCATGATCATGCGTCGCCGATGTGATTCAATCGTTGTCTACGAGGAAGTCTAAAATGAGATTATGGAGATGAGTTTTAGTGGCACCATGAGGAGTAATATGGTACTCGACAACTAGCGTCAGCAGGTCCGCCTTAGTAGCACGGACGAGTGAGCCAACTTCATTCTCTGGGTTATGACAGAATGCGGCAAGTCGGAACTTTATGAATGAATTAGAGAAAAGTAATATGCAGAGAATAACCTTCTGTAAGTGAACCAATATACGAATTGTTAGACTGACAGGATGACGTGGCAAGATTGCAACTTCAAACTACCCTGTGTGGCATGATAATTATTATAAAGTAAGGTTACACAAATTCAATGGATTAATTGTATCGTGAATGGAGAAACAAAATGTTTCGAGGTAGTACAGAGGAATGTAGGGATTTCTATACCCGGTACTCAATAAATGACGAGGCTAAAGGCAAGAGGTGTCGTACTAAGACTGGATAATACTTAATCATTCTTTGTGCTCTGGAAAAGAATAGTAAACTCCCTATGTGAATAAGTACTATAATCTCTGACCAAAGCGTAGAGGTGCAAAGTGTCAATACTGATGAGAATTGTTGTACGTGTCCCAAACGTACAGTGAAGTCCTAGAAGCGAAAGGAACTAAAGTCCAGTACGTCCATCTATGTTCGTACTGCAAAGATAGACATAATTGTCTGGAGACAGACCAAAGTACCAGAGTACCCGAGGGGGTGATCTGTCTGACTGAGAAACTTCTGTAGAGATGAAATTAAGGTGGGAAATACAGGATATGGCAAAGATTATTAGAGAATTAAATAAGAGTATGAATTTGCACATAAAACACCTACATAATCTAACGTCAATCTAACACTCATAAGTTCTTACACCTGAAATGTATAAAGTATTAGGCACCAAAATAAACATTCAAAATGGGGTATTGAAATTTTTTTTAAAGCAAAGTACCACTAACTCAACTCCAAGTAACGGATCTAGGAGCATTACCTGAGCAAGACTCCTAGGACATGGCCCCCCACCTTAATGTGACAAGAATCTGAAACAGAGCAGTGACTATTCGGGCAGGTGTTGTGCCAATCGCACATTAATAAAAAAGAGAGAACAAATTCAAAACTGCTTGATACCTCTGAGCGCAGTGGATAAAAACCAGAGAATACAAATTTCAAACCTTTAATATAACAAAATATAACCAATTTATTACAACAATGATAAATACCAAAAAACATTAGTACTTTACTCAAAATTTAAGATTTATACAAATGATTTTGTTAATCAAAAGGGTGTATTTAACTTTATACCAAAAGCTTTAGGCATCTACTGTCTCCCAGGAAGGCGAGAGTAGATGTTACAGCTGAGAGCACGAAGTGTATTCTGATGACTGGACGCCCACAGCTGAATATATATTTGCCAATGACGTCAGAGATGGCGCGGATTCTGTCGGTAACCATCGGCCGGCAGGAGAATGGTCGTTAGTGAGTAGCGTTTGGTCCCTTGCCGAAACAGCCAGTGATCAGGTGTCTTGGATACTGGAGGGGAGTGGTGTCTATCTAGACACCAATACGTTTTGGGCACGTATTGTCCTTGATGCTGAAGCAGGCAAACACGTTGGTGAATAGGCGGTAAAGGGAACAGGCAGGCTCACTGCTAGGCAGGAGATTACCTTAACAGTACATTATGGAACCAATAAGGGGCCATGGTAAACGAAAATCCGATGAAAAATGGAATATTTACGAAAAATTACGAAAAATACTACAACGTTCTGGCAACACTGTGGTCCAAACCGTTTAATGATATCTTGAAAAATAACGTAATTAGTCAAATTTCCCGCTGCAACTTTCGTGAATCTGGTCCTCGCGCCGTGAGTACGCCGCGGGGTATTGTATCTTACGTTGTAGATGTCTTATTTTTCGTAATAGCGTTGAAAATAACATGTTATGCATAAAATGAATATAAACTAACACATATGGCAACACAACATATGGTCTGACACGAGGGTGGTGCAGTCAGTGACTGCGTGTCTCTCATGGAGAGAGGATGTATGCTGACGCGCTCACACAATATCTCCCAGAACATGCTATTTTTGCTATTTTTAGCTATTTGTACTGCAATATGACTTACCAAACGAACAAGAGAAAAGCATTGACAGCTAGATGCATGCGAGCTCTCCATACGAGCTGGCCGCAATGCGTAAATCACCAGTCACGAGTGACCGCAGGTTGAGTAAACTTTGAGAGCGCGCTACGCAACTCCAACTTTTACAACTAGATAAAATTTCACAGCCTTTATTTATTATTCTATTTACATGAAACTTGCACATTATATGTAGAGTTTACGCCTCTATAAACGCATGTCATTACTCTTATCTACGTAGATTTATTGATTTTATAAATAATGATACACCTCATTTTGTTGCATACGTTTTTGGGAAACTTTTATAAAATCTGTATTATTGCACTAAATACATCTGGGATAATAATGTGACATGCAAATCTTTATTATATAGTAAGGTCATAGCTGAGTGTCGTATAAATGATTTTGGTTCACAATTGTGGGCTGTGAAATCAATTGAACATGGTCGAAAAATTCGTCTTTTTTTTTTTTTTTTTTTTTTCTCCATCTCTATTTAGGCTGAGATGCTGAAACTTGGCCTAGGTGCAGCACCTTTCACATGTATCAGGATAATAAATTATGAATACCCTACAACAATTTTTTAAATCCTGGGCCGTAGTTTATTAAAAGTTGTTCAATGTCAACCAATATTTTTTGACTAGTTGTATATGAAAAGGGCTGCATTGTTCCAAGTTTCAGTACTGCAACCTGAATAGAAAGGGAGATTTATTTGTTTTTTTTTTTCGACGAATATTACACATTTTCAAGTGTGTATATACAACCACACGTTTCGGATATAATCATTCTGACACATTAGCATATAATAAAGGATCTGAAGTTGGGGATTTTCCAAAACATGTTTTTGTTTTCCTGATACAAATAGTCAGTCTCCCCCCCACCCAGCTCCAAAAAAAGTGTAAATGTAACAAGTTTATTGCTATTATTAAAGCAATAAATGAACTTAGAAAAAACGCTTACCCCAGATTTAAGGGACACAAACTTTACATAGAAGGTGTAAGTTTCATGTAAATTGAATAAAAATGATTTGTATCAAGCAACAAACTTCAAACAAATAAAAATAGTCTAAGGTGCTGCCATCTGTGGCTGAGGTTGACATCAACCAATTTCCTCCAAAATTGGCCCCCTTACAGATAGGCGTACGTGCAGTCAGGTGTAAAAGTTTCATGCAAATCGTCCAATAAACAAATAAGAAAAAAAAACTTTTTTTTTAATAAAGCTCTATAATTTTTTTAATATATGCTATTGTGATAGCTGTGAGTCAGGTATGATTTCAGTTGACACTTGTTTGATAATCGTTTTTGACCATTTTGGAAATTTTTTGACACCTTATTCAATACTTTTTTTCTCCTTTCCTATTTATGCTACGATGCTGAGACTTGGACCAGATGAAACCCTTTTCATATACAACTCGTCAAAAAAGTTGGATTGAAATCGAACAATTTAAAAAAAAAACCTAATGGCCCCTTAGAGTACAATTTGAGGGTTATCAACAGGCAAATTGTAGCATAATTTGAGGGATGTATCAAGGTATAATGCAGTAAAATATGCGTTCAGAATAAGTCATGATAAAAGATTATAGCAATGATTACATTGATAAAGTTGTTTGGCTTAGGTACATATATTGGGGGATCGGGTAGCACAAGATAGTGCGAGTTTTATGCACTAGGTAGAAAACTATGAAGATTAAATTAGGTACTTTTTGGTTCTAGTTTTGAATAAGGCAAAAGTTGATCAGCTTTTCAATTAGTGAGTTCCATAGACTAGGTCCCTTTATTTGTATAGTGTTTACACAGATTGTTTGACTCTAGGGATATCGGAGATATTTTTCTGGTGTGGTGATTACGGGTTTTGTTACTTGTGTCCAGGAAGAGTTTCAGAATAGGGATCGCATTTAAGAACAGGGTTTTGTAAATGTAAATGACCAATGAGAATATGTGAAGTGAGTTTGATTAGCATATTTTGGAATTTAAATATGGGGGGCTGAGTGGTGTCTAAAAGTCGATTTTTGATGGGTTTGAGGTAGTTTGCATCGGTTGAACCCCATGCACAGATACCATATGCAAGACAGGGATAGATTAGCGTGTAGTATAGGAAGAGAGCAGAGTAGTGTTCGGAACGTATCTGATTTTTGAGATTATACCAACCGTTTTTTTTTTTTTTTTTTTTTTTTTAACTTGGTTGTGTGTTGTATGTGGGTGCTTAAGTTGTCTCTTGTCTAAATATAGGCCAAGGAACTTTCAATCATTTTTATTGCTGATGCTAACATTGTCAATCTGAAGCTGAATTGTATTTGTTGATTTGCTTCCAAATAATCTTATTTGGAAGTAGGTATAAACTCTCACAGGTTTAGTGAGTTTGTTGGTTGACATCCATAAATGGAATTTTGTTTGATTCATTATATATAACATTATTTAATGTGTGGTGGTTGGGGTCTGAGTAGATGAGGGTAGTATCGTCAGCAAATAATATTGGTTTAAGAATGTTAGAGACATTAGGCAGATCATTGATGAACAAATCCACAAGGGCCGTGACGAGGATTTGTTCATTTGATGCATCACGCTATTGTGATTTCTGTATGTAAAGATCATTGATATTTGTAAGAAACAAGAGAGGTCCTAGGATGCTGCCCTGTGGCAGCAAAAAGATAATAGTTAATGGTAGAGTGGGAAAGGTTATATCATTGATGGCTACATATTGGTGTCTGTCACTAAGATAGGATCGAATATTGTTCAGGACAAGGCCTCGGATTCCACAATGGAAGAGTTTAAGTAAGGGGTAGTTATGGATAACAGCATCAAAGGCCTTTCTCGGGTCAATGAAGATACCTGATCTTCATT